TTATTACACTTTTTTCTTTACCCTTAGGGCATTAGTTAGGAAAAAAAAAAAAAGAAAAGAAAAATCCCTATTGTAGAAATTTTTACATCTTCTATAAACAAAACAAAAAAAAAAAACACCATGACGAGAAGATCATAAAAAAAAAGTACAAAGAAGAATATAAAATTTATTATTTTTTATTTAAAGATGTGAATTTCATTAATTTTTAAATAATAAATTTTTAACTTTTAAAAATATTAATTTTATATTTTATTTAAAAATAATTAAATAATTAAAAAATCATTCGATACTTCAGTATTACTGTTTATCAAATGACTTTTTAATTATTTAATAAATTTTAAATAAAAAAAATTAATATTATTAACTAAAAAAATAATAAAACTCACATCCTTTAAATATAAAAAATAATAAAATTTTGTATTCTTATTCGTACCTCTTTAATCTTCACCAGCTTTTGCGATGACCTCGCCGCTCCGGCGACTTGTTGGTGACAGTTCCAATTTTGTTGTTTCCGAGAGAAGATAACCCGTCACTTATCAATTTGTTTTCATTCAATTTTCTAACATGATCTTTCTTCTTCATCTCCCTGCCATCTCTCTTGAATGTAGGAACTATGTACCAAGCAAGACATATATATAGCGTCGCCGCCGATCTCCCGAAAAACACCAGCAACAGAAGAATCAAGACTATAACCGCCGGCAAATAATATGCAGGCCACCTCAATTTATGCAACTTTGTATTCCACGAGAAGCTCTTCTTCTCTTTCACTTTGTTGAGCTCTTCTTTCATTTGCTTGACTCTGTTGTCCCCTGCCGCCGTAGATTCGATTGAAGACTTGTCCAAAATCTCGGAATCCCGCGTGGCTGCCACAGGCGGCGACTTTTCTTTGGTTTCACCGAGCTTTTTCTCGGCTTCGTTTTTGTCCTTCAATCTCACCACAATCGGAACACAATCGTCGGTGTTCTTGTAAACAAAGCGAACGAAAGAAATGTCCTGCGATCCAACCTGGGAATAGATCTTCTGCTTCTTCTCTTCGAGTTCAGCAAGAAGCGCAGAGAACTTGTCAAGTCCACGGCTGGAGTATGGGTTCTTGCTATCCCTGTTATGGCTCTTACACAAGTTGCTTCTCTTGGATTTCCTCGGCGTAGAAACAGGGCTCGATTTTGGAGAAAGAGAACAGCTGGACAGTTCATCTTCTTCTTTCTGGAAACCGCCGGTACCGCAGATCAAAGGCTTCAACATTTGAAACTGATGGATTTTATCAACAAGAGTTCAACACCAACACAAACTAATATAAGATCTAAAGATCAAAACTGTGCAATGGCTAGGCATGTCAAAGAAAGTGGTGGATTCTGACCGGAGAGTTTGAGGAATTTTTTTTTTTTTTTTTTGGGTTTGGGTTTTGGTTTTGGAAATCAAGGGAAGAGATAAGGAGAGTTTAAAGACTAAGAGTCTGGTAATAGGACTAAATCCGAAGGGAAAAACTTGGTCAAGATTTATAGATTTGAAATGCCAAAGAGATTTCATCTCATGAGTAATGAGTATAGAAGCTTCCACATAAGAATTTAGGTTTGTTTGACTTTTGAGGAAAAAAGAGCGCCTGTTTCACACAGGCTTATTTTCCAGGAAAGTTACACAAGAAAATCCGCCAAACGGAATTATTGTATTATTGCTTGGAGAAGGGGACTTGAAATGGTCCAGCGAGGATTAGGATTCATAATAAACATATCAAATTCTCTTTACTTTTTTGCTTACTAAGACCTGATTTAACGGTTAACAAAAATGCTTCAAGATTTTAAATGGGAAAATGATTTTTTATTATATTTTTTTGAAAATATCATTTATTATATTTTTACCGACTATATCTATAAACTTTTAAAGATCGAATTTACTTATAAATAAATGTTATTTTATAGAATTGATTTAAAATTTATCTTAAGATTAGTAATTTACAAAATTAATTTTATTGAATACATTAAAATTTGTTTAAATATATTAAAGTAATATGAAAAATATATTTTTAAAATATCCAAAAAAAACATTAATATTGAGATATATAAAACTAATTTAAATCACTTTAATAGTATTTTTTTTGAAAAAAAAAAAGAAAAGAAAGAGAAAAAGCCTATTCTACCTACATGGCGTGGTTGTTGCCACCATCAAGAAGGATCGAGAACGGTTAGGGCTAGGCCTAAGATTTTGAAAATAAATAAGTAAATAAAAACACTTTTTTATATTCATTTATCTTTTTAGTTTTTTTTTAGATTATGTATATTATTTTTCGTATTTACTTCTTTTTTTTTCTTTCTTGTTTTTAATTGAATTATAAAGTGCTAAAAATTTATTAATTTCATTTTGTCTTCTAAAGTTTAGAGAGAAAAAAAATTTAAATTGGCATTTATTATGCAATGTGTATGTTTACACCTTTTTGAAATTGCAGTTTTTGTTTTACAAGTTTTAACTTTTAATAATTTTATTTTATTTTATTTATCTTGATTACATAATAAAAAGCAATTATCTCTCATCTCCTATTCCACTTCACGCGCATGTCATGTGACTCGAATTTATATCTTTTACTTTTAGTAGAACTTCTAATAATTATTATGGATATAAATCAAAATATCCTTAATTAATGTGAAGAACAATAAATTAGATTTTAATTGAACATTACATTTCTCTATCTTAAACAATATTACTCATGTATTGTTAGTTGGTGCTTCAAAAATTAGTGAATGATTTCTATTATATACAATTTTGCCAAGAATATTTAGCTTGATTTCTTTCTTGGTTGGTTAATTTGACATACAATTAAAAATTGAAGATTTATCGTAAATTATTATTTAATAATAAATCTTTGTAAAACTTTTTATAAATTAATATTATTGAAAAATTATGTCATATATTATAAACATTATAATTAATATTATATTTTTGAATAATAATAATAATAAAAAAAGAATATTTGCCCCTCCTAAATTGTGATTCAGCCTCCATCCTTCACAATTAATATTTGCTAAGTTCATTAAAATTTTAATGCTTCCCAAATTCTGGTTCATTCTCCAATCTCCTTTTAATGATTGTCATCAATAGTTTATATAGTTTATAAACTATTGATTGTCGTGATCGATTTTTACTAGTTGACTGAGACCCATGATTTGATATGTTTTAGTTTTCGTTTATCTCTCTTATTGACTTACAATTTTTGGCTCACATAGCATTCATTACTCATGGAAAATAAGTTTTTAAATTAAAATTAGTTTGATGTTTATCTTAATAATTTGCTCACATTAGGACCGAAGGCCCTAGGATGAAATAGGTTAGTACCATAATTAGTTGAGGTGTAATAGGGGATTTGGTTGGGGTGAAGAATGAAGAAATTGGAACTATTCATATAAAGTGATAGTTCAACTCTATCCACAACATTCATGAACTTATTAATTCTATCATCAATAATTTATTAATTTGAATGAAAAAAATTTAACTTTTTAAAGTAAAATTTTAAGTTTACGTTTTATTAATGAAAAAATAAATACTAAAAAAGTTTTCTCAAATTTAATGTGATTTGATTTTAAATTAATTAAAATTTAATATAATTATCAAATATTAAAAAATTAATATAAAAAAAAATCTCACCCAAATTTATGAGACATATATTATGACAGATCACAATGCTGCATCATATATAGTGAAAATAATTTTGTAGATCTTACGTAAAAAAATAAAATAAAATAAAAAATTTAGAGATCATGAATTCAATCGTGTATGTAGTTCTAGAAAGACAATGGAGGCTTTAAGACAGCGGAGGTCCACACGAAGCATCGGTCAAATAATAATAATAATCCTTGCACGCCATAATTTATATCGACGTCCAGAAGGAGTTATGTCGGGTAGATGGACTGATTCATTGATTCCTCCCGTTCCTTCAAACTCAACAATCATAACGAGAATATAATTTGTTCTACTAAATCTGGGTCAAAAGGGTTCAGGTTAATCTCATGCTTTGAAATTTCAAAAGAGATCCACTGTTTTGTAATTTGAATATAATTAGATCACAAAACAGAAATTATAAGATAGAGAGATAACTCTTAATATAAAAAATTTATGTTCATTTAATAATTTAAATTATATAATTTATTATAATTTAAATTACAAAACTTTTTTTTTTCAGATTTTTAAAACCATAAATACATAAAATATTTTAAGAATTTTTTGAGATGAGAAAAGAAAAATCAAAACATCTTACCATTAAAAATGTCAAAATACTGAATCATAGTTATTAAATGTATGTGATATAATATAAATGTTAATTTTATCAAATTCATTATGTCATTCTTGTTAGCTATTCTGATATTAAAAATGTCAAGTCAACCTGATTTTCCCTTTTTTCCTTCTTGAGATTATCTTTAATGAAAGTCTAATGAGCACTTAGCAGCTAAACGTGAATCGTGTGATGCTATGACTTTATGCTGCTTTGAAAATACATTCATTTGGTAGAGATGCCATTCTTTGTCTGCTAAAGCTCTTATTGGTGGTAGTGGTGGGAACAAGAACAAAATGGAAACTGGATTTTATCAGGATTTCCTGTTTCCAAGACCAAAACTACCTTTGGTCCTTTTACTTTTCAAGTCAAAATTCTAGCTACATCAGTTTGTTTACACATAATTTAACTAGCATGCACAAAACCAGAGTTGAGAGATGAACAGGAGAGGAAGAAGCTGTACTAGTCTATCATTTGCAAGTTTTCTTCATCATCCACAGTAAATTAATTAACCAGTGTTATTGGCTGATGAAGACTTTCTCATTATCTGCTACAAAGGGAGAAAATTGCATAAACTTAAGATCGGTAAATACATATGTATGATGCATACACTTGCCGATATGCACAAAAGTAACAAGCCACCGTATGTGTACCATTTGCTCACAGGAATGCTGGTTAGTTGTCAAAATTTTCATCATCCTTCATGTACTTTTCTTGAACTGCTGCAACTGTGAAGATTTGTTAAGAGAAAAATATGATTTCAAGTGCCCAAAAAAGGAGAACTCCATAGAATTAATGCCATCTACAGGGTTAGAAAAATGACAGAAAAGCAAAACACTGTAAAATAAGGATAAAATTTTACTACTTGCTTTCCTTTCTCTTCTTTTAAGAAATGTGGGGCAACTCCAGTGGCAAACAGAAATGGCTATCTAGAGGGAGACTATTAATTTATGATACTCCAAAATGCATGCTACCAAACTCTAAAGCATTTTTGTGGTAACACAACCCCATACCACCAAAGGCATGTATGTATAAAAGGATATCTGTAATAATCCCAATCAACTTGACGAATGGCAATCTTGCTGAATTCAACTGCACTGGCATCAATGCTTGCAAATATGTAGCCATTGCTCTTGTCAATTAGCTTCACAAGGTTTCCAACACTCTCTTTATCCTGAAAGAACAATCAGATTATAAACAAATCAACCTATAATAATAAAGACTGCAGCAGGGGAGGAGGATAAGAATCAGAGTGAAGAAGAATAGGAGGTGATAACATGCCTGAATATCTAAGGTTGAGAAATTAACAAGACTGTAGTCTTCTACCACTTCACAGAGCTCCTTTGTCAGTTTTCTGCAACAAGAATGTAAGACTGGAAGTCACGTATGGCAGAAAATATGAAAGTATCAACATGGAACATATTTGACAGCATTGCCTGGTTAAAGGGTACTAGGAAGAATTGTTACACTAAAAGAAAAGAAGGAAATGCATAAGAATAAGACTAATATTACTCAGTATCTTACTCTTATGCATAATAAAAAGGACAACCCAAAGAGAAATCAGTTATAACAAACCTATATTTGGCAGAGCGAGGATCCTGATCAAGATGGTGTTGTAAATATGATAGATCTTGTACATCAGTATAGAAATCAAGGTTGAAAGCTGCAGCCATCCAAATGAAATAATTAGTCATGAAAAGCAGCAATAGATGCCAGAATCAAAGATAATATTCAGCACTCACCCAGCTTTCCATAGCTCTCAATTAGATCAATCTTAGACAAGACATTGATGTGTGGGAGCTCCAAATGCAGCATGGTAGATAATGAGAGAAGTAAAGAACTGACATATTTCCCAGGGTCACTACAGAGATGGGCATCAACCAAATGTATAGCAGTCAACTGCATAAATGAATAACCTGTCAATATTATTGTGATAAAGTATCCAGAAAACAAGCTGAAGTTATCTCTAATGTTGGCTCCTACCAAGAAAAAAAGACAAAACCATACCCTAAGATTCAGCTTTTTAATGAGCTTCATGATGACATTCTTGGCGTTGGAGTGAAGGAAAAATAACTCAACTTGGCCAGGAAAATCAAAAAGAAGATAGTGATCTGCAAGTAACCAAAAATACCCTTTAAGTCTTCAACTGTGACAATTATCAGTACGGTAACCAAAAATACCATTCACATGCTATCACTTCATAAATACAATACAGTCATTCGAATTAGTTACACACTATGATCTTCAATGAACATAATTAGAACGCATGTATCATCAGATAGAATCTAAATAAAGGCCTAATACCAACCTTTCAGAAGAGGTTTCAGTTTAGACTCCAACCAGTCAATGTTCTTCTCTAAATAATCCATACAATAAACAAGACCTGCTTGGACACGAAAATTTGCACTTCAGAAACAAGAGAACAAACAAATAAGCATTACAACTCCAAAAAAAAAAAAAAAAAAAAAAACACTCTGGCAAAATGTTAAAGCACAGGCAATAGGCAGATAGAACTACTACACCTAATATATAAGACATGATAAAGGTAATGTATCACGTTTATGAGATTTAAACGAAGCAAGAGTACAAGTAAAAGCATATGCACCTCCATTCGGGCCAAGAGAATGTTCCATCATCACATCACTTAGTTTTACCAGATCCTCAATGTTTATGGCACACTCATAACTGCATTCATTCATGTAAGGAAAATTCATACTAATCAAACACTCCTAAACAAAACACAACATTTTTGAAGTAAGTTTCAATGACGAGGATACGGTAATGCATCATTAGCAGGATCCAGATTGATAACAGCAACCTTCCTGAAAAAAAAAAAAAAAAAATTCATTTACTGTGCTGCACCGCTCAATTCAGTGACGATTGAAACGGAAAGATGAAATAATAATGTAAAGAAAAAGCGAAACAGAAGGTGACCTTCCGATGAGTCTGAGGAACTGAGACATGCCGTTGCAATAAGTAGTTTTCCCTGAACCGGGCGGACCAATCACCACTTGCCCAAATACCATCTTCCCAGATGACTATGTCCGGTACTATTGCCTGCCGGAAAAGAGAAACCAATTCCACAATTGCTTTACGAGGTGAGAGTGAGAGCCGGAACCGATTGATTTTAGTGGAATGGGAAAGAGATTAAGCTTCTGGATATGACGTTTACCGGATCAAGAATCCAGAAACAAGAGAGATTCCAAAAAACCAGAGTGAGTTTACAACTTCAGATTTAGCTTGGACTTTGTAATCAGAGTGCTTTAGGGTTCGATTGGAGGGAGCTGGAACCTGGAATTTGAAGTAGAACTTTCCAGATATTAGAGAAAAGAAATAAAAAGAAGAAAAATGGGGGCATTCCGAGAATCGAACTCGGGACCTCTCGCACCCAAAGCGAGAATCATACCACTAGACCAAATGCCCAGTTTGTGAGTGAAAATAGTTTAAAAGCTTATAGTCTTAGTCTTAATTACTTCGGCCCATCTCAGAATGAATTTGGGCTAATTTGTTTATTTATTCTAATATACCGCTCAGATCTCAGCCCAAGAGGCAATATTACCTGTAGTCTGTGGGATATCTTATTGCTATTTTTTTATTTAATATTTTTGGGTCAATTTTTATATATTTTAAAATTAATTTATTTTTAAATAATTTTAATAATGTACCTCGTACGTTGATCTAGTGCATATAAAAAAATCAACTTTCTTTAGTGTTGTTAGCAAGATTTAAATCCTAAATCTAGCAAATAAGATAATATTTATTTATCAATAAATTCAATTTAGATTCATGTTATTGCTATTGAATTGGAGGAAGTTTTGCTGTCAACACACACATTGCTTCACTTTCATAAGATAGAAAAAACACATACACATTGCTTCATCATTGTTGTTCAGTGTGATGGAAGTACACAAACACTTCCACCTGCCCCTGTCCATTTCTTTGAATCTATTTTCTGGAATAGTTAAAAAAAATTCAGTTATTAGGTGTAATTCTCTTAACTATATATAAATAAAATAATGAAAAGTTATTAAAATATAACATTAGACTAGGGATTAAATATTTGTTGTATACTCCTATGTCTCAATTTATATGATGTTTACGGGAGTTTTACATAGATTAAGAAATTTATTTAATATTTTAAATTATAAGGATATCTAATATTAAAGTAACCGATTTATCCTTTCGATATTAGATAAATGCTGCAGTCATTTAATAGGTAAATGAATATACTTAAATAGAAATAAAACAATTTTTGATTTATTGAAATGTGAGAAAGTCATTTAATTTTTTTTTTATTTATGATAAGTCATTTAAATTTTAGAACGCAACAGATAAAAAAAATGACATTTAATTGAAACAAAGGAGGAAGTTGCACTCAAACGCAATATAATTTCAGAATCACTAACAGAAGATTCAACCTCTGGAGGTTGAAGTCTAACTGTGCTTGGAAATGAGGAAAATATAATAAGCAAGAAGAGTGCTAGCATTTCAAACCTCCTAAGCACCAAACTCGAAGAAGAAAATTTTTTCCTTGGGTGTATAATAGATATTCAAAAGGAAAAAAATGCAATAATTGATAAGGTAGATATTCGAAAAAAAAAGCAACAAAAAAGCACTTAATTTGCTTATGTGTTGGGTTGGATTTGGACAAATTAAACAGCTCCATAATTCAGGACATGACAAGATGCATATCACTTCACTCAAGAACAGGACAATGGATTGCTTATATTTATGTTGTAATCTGGGACCATAAACAGGGCCGCATATAATCAAGAAAATTCAATTCAATTTTTTGTTAAATAATTTAAAATATTTAGATGAGTCCTGGTGTTTTGCAATCGCTATCATGTAGGATGATGAAATATTTTAACATAAAATATCAATCAGTAAATAGAGAGATTTACACATATTATTAAGATATTTTATTATTTAATAATTAATTTAAAATTTTTTTTATTGATTTTGAACTGCACAATAAAATATAATTTTTTTCATTTCTTAATTTATCATATTTATATATCATATAACTTAAATTCAATATTCAATATTATTTATTTATTTTTTTTAAATTTAACATTAAATTACTTAAATTGTTAGTATAGCTTAGCATATCCTATCTGGACACAGCAGATGGTTACGTGCTTCAAAGCTGAAGTGCTGAACAGAATCATTGGCAAATTTAATTATTATTGCTCCCACATTGCTCCATCAACTACTTTTCCTCTTATATCTTCTCCTCGCAGTCTCTCCTTCCTTCACATTAGTTATTTCCTGAGAAAACAAACTCACGTTCTTGGGAAAATAAGAAAAAATAGAGAGTGAAGGCTATGGCATTTGCAGGAACAACCCAGAAATGTATGGCCTGTGACAAGACTGTTTATCTGGTGGATAAGTTGACTGCCGACAACCGGGTGTACCACAAGGCCTGTTTCCGGTGCCATCACTGCAAAGGAACTCTCAAAGTAAGTTCTCAAGTCTGAATTTATAGCACTGGATCTGGTTGTGGTTCTTTTGTCTTTTGCCATCTGCTAATTAGTTCTGCGTTCATATATAAAGAAGTCATGTTTGCTTAAATTTGAGTCCTTTTAGGCCTTGATATTTTAGTATAAGTCTGGCATGTGCTCAATTTGAACCCTACATTATTTTGATCAGTACAAAAGATAGTGCAAAAAATTCTCCGGTACTGTTATACCAAGGATCAGAGATCAGACTGAATCATAATGTGTAATGGATAAATTGGATCCAACTGAATATTTTCTTCTTTCAGTCTACTTTATTCTTTTCTTTTCAGATCTGTAGCCTATCATGAAGAATCGTTTCATCCGGTTAGCTGCTTTAGACCTCGATCAATTTATCATATATGTCGAGGGCCAAAATACCCAAATTTACCTTTAAAGTATAGTGGCAGGAAAGGATTCACCTCTTAACAAAAAAATGGCATAAATCCACCTATAAAATTTTTGATTTTGATTTATACAAATTATCCTGAATTTAATATGTGACATCATCTGACATCATATCAATTCGTTGTTATTATGACATCTAATGATGTCACATGTTAAATTTAAAATGTTAAATTTAAAGTAATCTGTTTAAGTAAAAAACTTTATAGATGGATTTGTCTATATTTTTTGTTCTGGATAGATCCATCCTTATCACTGAATTTAGGGTGCATTTGGGTATTCTGTTTATGTGGAGGTCATGGAATCAGATCATTTTATCCCAAGAAAATTTTGTTGAATTTCCTCTGATCCAAACAGAGAAGGCTGCTCCTATTCCATATTTTGACATTTGTATGTAATTTCAGCTGAGTAATTACAATTCCTTTGAGGGAGTTCTGTACTGCAAGCCACATTTTGATCAAACTTTTAAAAGAACTGGCAGTCTTGACAAGAGCTTTGAAGGTGACAAATATATATAAAAAAAAATTTAAACAAAAGTTTTTTTTTTCTTAACAGCTGCAGCTGATTTTCTTTTTCATATTCCTTTTTAGGTACACCAAAAATTGCAAAGCCAGAGAGACCTGTTGATAGTGAGGTAATTATGTAGAAATTTATTTGTAAATGCTTGCCTATATTATACATGAGTTTTTGATGATTATGGGCTGGTTTGAGCAGAAACCTGCAGCAGCTAAAGCCTCGAGCATGTTTGCTGGTACCAGAGAAAAATGTGTTGGCTGTAAGAATACTGTATATCCAATTGAGAAGGTAAGAATTTGATGTGATATTTTTGCATTTTCCTGCATGAATTAAACAATTGTTCCTGACTGGTTCAAGTCTATTCTTTGATTGAATGTCCTGCATTTGTGTTTCAATTGCATATATGGTTAAGACTAGTAACCACCAAGAATTAACCATGAAATGAATTTCCTACTGTTGAAAAGGTTACAGTGAATGGAACTCCCTACCACAAGAATTGTTTCAAATGCAGCCATGGAGGATGTGTAATCAGTCCATCCAATTACATTGCACATGAAGGCCGGCTCTACTGCAAACACCACCACGGCCAGCTTATAAAGGAAAAAGGAAACTTAAGTCAGCTTGAAGGTGAGCACGAGAAGGACAAGATGAATGTTAGTTAATGCAAAAGAAGTTGCTGCTGAATCTTGTTCTGCTTGATGCACCTTTTGTTCTTCTGTCATTTATCCTGTGTTTTCCTGCCCTGTCCTGGACTCTGTTTTACATCCCCTGTATCCGCAGTTCCAAGGGTTTTATGCTTACGAGACACCAAAAAAATTCTTGTTACATATAAATATAATTGAAGATTTGGAGTGTGCTTGCTTTTTCTCTGTTATATTTGAAATTTCTATGCACCATCTTGTGGTTAAATCAGACGCCATGACATGTTTGAATCTCAGTATCATGCAATACAGTATGACGCATGGTGTAAAGATACTGATCTGTTCATTACGTTGTTGAAGTCTTTAAAGACCATGGTGATTTAAGACTTGAACCTGTTAAAGCGGAACTGATCGCATCAGCAGGATCTAATTCATCCTATTGTAGTTTGACACGTGGTATTTGTTGGCAGAAGCTTCCAGCCCATGTGAAAATGAAAATATTTCTCACCGTCCTATAGCTAAAAAGGCTGCACCTATAGCAGCATTTGTGGAAATCTTGCGTGGTTATTTTCAACCATTACAAGTTTACTCATTGAATGAGATGAAGAAAATTTTGCCCCGGTGGTTGTGTTCCCTCCCTATAAATTCCCCATGTAAAGGCAAAGCAAAAGGCAAGCAGCAGAGCAATACCAAAGTGAGTGAGTGAGTGAGCTTCCAAGGTGAGAGCTCGGGGGAGAAAAAGAAAAGAAAAGGTGAGTTAGGTATTAAATTTAGGTGTAAGTGTGCTTCACACAGAGAGCATATTGTGTGATTAAATTGTAAGTTTATCAAAATTATAATCATATTTTGAGGAGTAGGAAACACCAAAAGAGAACAACATTTGAATGTGTACTCTATATAATTTTATTGTATAGTGAAATACTTTTTAGAGTTTGTCTTATGGTTTTTTTTCCTTAATAGTTTTTGAGGTTTTTCCATGTAAATTTGGTGTTGTCTTATTATTATTTTTTCTTTTAAGGAGTTCGTTAAACCATCTATTTTATTTTGTTTCGCTGCTTATTTCACTATTTTTTATTATTGTTCATGTGTTTTATTCACAAGAATGATTTCATTCCACTGTGCCATTTTTCCAAACAACTAGTATTAGAGCAAAATGATCATGTTAAATAGTTCAAACTATCAACTATGGAAGGGGAAAATGGAAGACCTTCTTTATGTGAAGGAATTTCATGAGCCTGTCTTCTCAGAGCAAAAGCCAGAAAGCATGAAGGACGAAGGATGGAGGTTGTTCCATAGGCAAGTGTGTGAATTTATCCAGCAGTGGATTGATGATAGTGTGTTAAATTATATCAATGATGAAACTGATGCACGGACACTATGGACAAAGTTGGACCAGCTTTTTCAGGTGCAGATTGGGCAGAACAAATTGTGCCTTATAAAGCAATTAATGTATTTAAGGTACAAGGATGACACTCCAATGGTAGACCATGTTAATGATTTCCTTGGCATCATCAAGAAATTAGCCAATATTGGCATAGATTTTGATGATGAGGTGAATGGTCTAATTCTTCTCAATACCTTGCCAGAATCATGGGAGAGTTTTAGATCAAGAATGATCAACTCATCTCCTAGTGCTAAAGTCACACTAGAAATTGCCAAAAACAGGATTTTTGAAGAGGAAAAGAGGATGCAAGCATTGGGAATCTTTTTGCAATCAAACACTCAGGTTCTTGTCATGGAGAACAGGGCTAGGAGTAAAACCAGAGAACCCAAAAGACAAGGCAGATCCAGATCCAAGTCTAGAAGTATAGTGAAATGCTATTATTGTGGCCAATCAGGCCACATGAAAAGAAATTGCAACTTGTTGAAAGGAAAAGACAAGAAAGAAGTTTGATGATAGCAATACTTTCATTGTAGCATCTACTAGTGGTGGTGATGTGACTTTATTATGTGATTGTGGAGAGTGTTGCAATGTAAAAAACTTTGATAATGAGTGGATAATTGATTCTAGTGCCTCTTATCATTGCGTTTCCAAAAGGGAACATTTTTCAACATATAAAGCAAGAGACTTTGGTACCATAAAAATGTGAAATAAGAGTGTTTCTCCTATTAAAGGAGTTAGTGATATCTATGTTCATACCAACGTTGGGTGCATATTGACATTGAAAAATGTGCAACATATTCCTGATATGCGTATGAATATGTTGTCTACAAAAGCACTAGATGAAGAAGGATATGCACACTACTTTGGAAATGGCAATTGGAGACTCACCAAAGGATCAATGGTGGTGGCAAAAGGAAGAGCATAGTGCTCATTATACAAGACACATATAAAAATGTGTGGAGATTAACAAAACATAGTTGAAGATGATGCTTCTCCGAATCTATAGCATAAAAAATTAGCTCATGTGAGCAAGAAAGGATTCCAACTTTTTGGCCAAGCAGTCCCTCATTCCTATGGCCAAAGGTGAACATGTAGATCTTTGTGATGTTTGCCTATTTAGAAAGCAACATTGAGTTTCATTTAAGAAGAATTTGACATGAAATGAGACCAAGTTAGAATTGGTCTACTTCGACGTTTGTAGTCCAGGCGGGTCGTTTGGTACTGATATGTTCATTATGTTGTTGAAGTCTTTAAAAAACATGATGATACAAGATTTGAATCTGTTAAAACGGAACTAATTGCATCAGCAGGAACTAATTCATCCTAATGTAGTTTGACACGTTGTATTTCATTAAACATTTTTTTTCCTTAATAGTTTTTGAGGTTTTTCCATGTAAATTTGGTG